GATACGGGCTATTCTACATTAGCCATTGAGTCTGACGTGAACGAAGATGAAAAATTTAATGCTTTCAAAAAGACTGCTTCAAGCAAGGGGCCTAACCGTGGTTCGGGTAGGGGAACTATTGCACACCTCCCCAAGAATGCGAAGATCCCTTAGAAACCGGAGGACGTTTCTACCAAGCCTTGGGAAGCCCTCCGCATCAGTTAAAAAGAATGGGAAAAAAGATCCGAGCTGCGAGTGTGCTTGCATTGCCAAAAGCCTGGGCACGCTTTGCAGAACTGTTATGGTCTGCAGGAAAACAAGCAAAGGGCGTAGAAGAGTTATCAACACTCTCTACAACGAGGGAAGTTGAACCATCAGTTGCAGGCCCCTCCAATGAGCCTGAATCTGATCAACAGCCTACTCTTTAAGCCCGGAACGATGCTGAATCCAAGGCTGCTGCAGTTCAAGTATTGTACACTGAGCCTTGGGAGGAGTCTAAGGAAGTTGACTTCCACGCTCACCTGGAACATTGGCTGCAGCTCAAGCAGCAACGCCGTGCTCAAGGGAGTGTGGAGCTGACCTTCTTTAAACTACTCATTAACCGCCGATACATCCGCGTGCTGATTGCTTGTGGTTCAACAACCAATTTCTTTTCTCCTAACGGGATTCGTAAGGCGGGCCTGGGAATGAAGCAAGTGGAACTGCAGAACCCTTGTCAGACCCAGGTGGGCAACCAAGAGGTTGTCACCTCCACACATGCTGTCAAAGGTGTGCGCGTCACCTTTGACAAGGACCGCACTGTCACACATGAGTTGAACTTTTATGTCATGGACAACTGTCCGTTCGACGCAGTCATTGGCTTGGGCTGGCTAAAGGCTCATTGCCTAAGAACCACGTGGGCGGATAATCAGTTCGTGGTGCGTGATGCCAAGGGGAACGAGCGTACTGTTCTATTGGACGAGACGCGCGAGTCCCCTGTGACTCTTTTAAGTGCAACCAAATTCTGCAAATCAGTGTGCAGGCGCAAGGAAGCTGAGCATGTACATGTAGCTCTTGTAAAGCCTCTCCATGTGCCTTCTACTTTTGCTGCATTTTCTACCTCAGTAAGTAATTCTACTTCGATTTCATCTACTTCTACTGTGAATAATCCTTCTACTGTTGATCCAAGTTCTTCAAATCCAGTTGTAATTGCTGTAAATTCTCGATCTGATTTTCTTTCTCCTGATGAGGATGATCCTCCCCCGGAAGTCCCAACAAACATTCGTCGTTTATTCGATCGATTCCCTGAAGTTCTGGCCGAACCTCGCGGAGTTCTCGAGCGTCAGGTCAAACACAAAATCGAAATAACAGAAGGGAGTGTTCCTCCAAAGGGCTGCGTCTACCGTATGGGACAAGGCGAGTTGGAGGAGTTGAGGAGGCATGATAGACCGTGGATGGATTAGGCCTAGTGAGTCTGAGTTCGGTGCACCTGTCTTGTTTGTGCCGAAGAAAGGAGGCAAACTCCAGATGTGCATTGACAATCGTGGCCTGAACCGTATCACCCGAAAGAACGCGTATCCCTTGCCTCGTATAGATGATCTGCTAGATGCTGCAGGTGGGTGCAAGCTCTTCTCCAATATTGACCTCAAGTCTGGCTACCACCAGATTGAAGTTGATCCGATTGACCAGCACAAGACTGCATTCAAAACATGCGATGGGCTATACGAATTCATCGTTATACCTTTCGGTCTTACGAATGCACCAGCCACATTTCAGTGCCTCATGGACAAGGTACTCCGCCATCAACTCAACAGGTTTGTGGTTGTGTACCTTAATGACATTCTGATTTTCAGCAAGTCCATGGAAGAGCACGTCAAGCACCTTGAGGAGGTTTTGCAGGTCCTCAAGGAGGCACAACTGCACCTCAACTTAGAGAAATATGAGTTTGGAAGGGACAACGTCATCTATCTTGGGCACCGGTTGTCTGCAAACGGCCTTGAGCCGGAGGCAACCAAGGTTGAGGTCATCTGAAAGTGGCCTCAACCAGCGAACGTACGCGAACTGCATTCTTTTCTTGGTTTGGCCTCATATTACCGGAAGTTTGTGCCCAAATTTTCTGTCATTGCTCACCCACTCTCGAGACTAACGAGTAAGAATGTTGCTTATGCGTGGTGTGAGAAATGTGAGACTGCGTTCCAAGCCTTGAAAGAGGCATTGGTGAGTCATCCTGTGCTCCGCATTGCGATCCCAACCTCACATTCGTAGTCACTACGGACGCTAGCCAGTTTGGGATTGGTGCAATGCTGCAACAAGATGATGGTGATGGTCTGCGTCCGCTCGAATATTACAGCAAACGCATGCCCAACCACAAGGTAGCTACCTCCAAATACATGCGTGAGCTCTACGCCTTGCGCGAGGCGCTCACACATTGGAAGCACTACCTCTTGGGTCGTCACTTCAAGGTCTACTCAGATCATCAAACCTTGCAGTGGATTAAGACACAAACTGATCTCTCTCCTACACTGACCCGCTGGTTGCATGGCATTGATGTCTATAATTTTGAGTTGAAACACAAGAAAGGTTGTTATAACCGTGTTGCTGATGCTCTGTCACGCCATCCTGAGTTTTTGACTTGCCTTGTGGATTCATATGACCTCCGAAGGAAACTGAAGGAGGATCTGGTCGAACACACCGCCAAGGATCCGGACCTCAGTCCCATCCTTGAGCAGCTCAAGGCTGACCCTAGCAGTCAGCCTGATTTTCATGAGTGCGAGGGTCTTGTATTCCGCCGGTATGGGAAGTTTGATCGTTTGTGTGTACCCAACCATGCGCTCTTCGAACTCATTTCTTGGACTTGGCACATGGTCGGAGTGGACACGTCAGCTTTGAAAAGACTTATGGAAGTCTTTTGCAGCAGTTTGATTGGCCGGGAATGAAAGGATCTGCTCAGAAATTTATTGTTGAATGTCAAGTATGTCAAAGAACCAAGGTCCACAGGCATAAGCCTTATGGCTTGTTGAGACCCCTCCCCATTCTTGATGGACCCGGTGAGTCGATTTCCATCGACTTCACGGACATGGGAAAGGTGAGTGAGGCAAGGAATTCACAAGTCATGGTCATCGTGGACCCTTTCTCCAAATTTCTGAACTTGATTCCTTTCCCTCCCCATGCCCCAACTGAGCTTGTCATTGAAGAATTTCATCAGCAGTACATTCTGCAGTTTGGCACCCTGAAAACTATTGTGAGTGATCGGGACACCAGATTCATTAGCAAAGATTGGAAGGACTTCGTTTCTCAGATCTACGACATTAAACTCAACAAGACTTCTGGTCGACACCCCGAAGCCAATGGATTGGTTGAGGAAATCAACCTGTCATCCAACTACTTCGCGCGATAACTGTTCCAGATCGGAACAAATGGGACAAGGAGTTACACAAAGTGAAGGGGTTGTACAACAACTTCATTCACTCTGCAACAGGTGTGACACCGAATCAGCTGCAATACGGATGGCAGTTGCGCAATCCTCTCTCCTACCTGTTCCCCGAACGGTCACTTGGTCTGACGCCCGGCATGCCTGGCTACAATGCCAAGTATGCATGCTTGCTCAAAACTGTTATCCGAGCAATGAACAAGCGTCAGCATGCCATGATCAAACATGCTAATAAGTCGCGCAAAGAAGGGACCTTCAAAGTAGGAAGCTATGTCTGGGTTAAAATGTCTGAGTTTTTTGACGAAGAGGGCATATCACGAAAGCTTCTTCCGTTATACTATGGCCCTTGGCAGCTTCTGAAGGTGATTGGGGACGATTTTGGTCCTTCGTATGTGATTGACGTGCCTCCTCATCTCCGCACGTATCCGGTCTTTCACGCATCCAAACTGTTTCGACACATTGATGATGAAACTTTTCCCTTCTGAGATCCTATGATACCTCGTCCTATCTACGGCGGTCATGAGATAGACAGAATCGTTTCCCATGAAGGCAGAGGGAGAAACAAACAGTATAAGGTCCACTTCCTCTATCACCCGTTGAACGAGTTTTTTTGGATCGACCAGAAAGAGCTGCTAAAGAATGCTCCACGTGTTGTGAACGCCTATGAACGACAGATCGCTGATGGACAGATTGCTAAGTTTTCTGCAAGAATCACTCCTTACGGTATCACTAAGTCTCTCTTTTTGATTTATGCCTATGATGCTTTTTGTGCCGACTCTGAATGAGTTACTCGCTCGAAGGGACCTCGCTCTTGAGAGGGGGGTAATGTAATGACCCGCCAAAAACACAGACTGAGAACACTGCTGATTTCTTAAATTTGCTGCTGGAATGAATGCCTTGCTGAAATTCCCGCATTCTGCTGTGATTTCCATGTCTGTGTGGGTGTGCGTGCCTGCTGGCTTGCATGCCTGTCAAAGTGCTTGTCGGTTGAGTGTGTGTGTGACCCGCAAGGGTACTTGTTGGTTGCAAGGCCCCGCAGGGCCGATACTTACCTGTGGCCGTGACTTTGAGGGTTGCAGGGGGGTAAACACTCAAGTAGCGGGGGTAGGCCCGCGACACTTAGAGCAGCAGGGAAAAAACACTCAAGTAGCAGGTAGGCCGGTACCACTCGAGTAGTGGTAGGAGTGTCGGGTACTGGAGGCCGAGCAGAAGAAGACAAAAAGTTGGCATTTTTAGAGGCCCAGTAGTAGTAGGATAGAGGTAGGCCGATATCAGTCCAAGTAGCCTGAGTCTAGGGCATGTCCGGACGATATCAGAGCCTGTAATGATGTTTCCCTCCGAAAGGGAGGAGGTACCGGTTGCTGGGAGGCCGCTCGGCCTAGGAAGTCACCACCTAGGAGGCCGGTAGGCCGCTATATCTCCAGGAAGAGCAAAGAGCTTTTCCTCATTTGCGGTATGCAAGGATTGGCGACATGCTACTGGAGCACAGCGCTGGCCGGTACAGCGCTGCTCAGAGGTGAAGGGCCGCTGGAGCTCAGCCTGGCTATGGCGAGCAGTCCAGCTTGAGGAGGAGGAAGAAGGGGATGAGGTAGGAGAGTGGTGAGGCACCTACCTGGCTATGGTGGACACCGTCTTCAACACCTTGTTGGGCGCTGCATCTGGAAGGCCCCAGTGGGGGTAGTGCTGCACCAAGGAAGCTCGAGGCAGAGTCAGGCATGGCGGACCAGCCAGCAGCGGCATAGCTGCTTTGGGTTGTCCTTTGGACAGGAGTGCAGCAACATAGCTGCTTTGGGTTGTCCTTTGGACATCAGCGCAGCATCATGGCTGCTTTGGGTTGTCCTTTGGACATCAGCGCAGCACCATAGCTGCTTTGGGTTGTCCTTTGGACATCAGCCCAGCACCATAGCTGCTTCATTAGTCCGCCATGGCCTATGCATGAGAGAGGAGGCTGAAGGAGGGAAGCCATAGCTATGGTGGACTTGTTGTTGTTGTTGTTGTTGTTGTTGAGTTGAGTTAGCAGTAAGAGGGAACTTCGGATATTGATTCTGGCTCATCCATTCATTGTTATTATTATTGTTGAGAGAAGAATAAGATTGGCGAATTGAAGGAGGAGGAGGAAGGTGGAGAGAGAAGGGGGAATTATCATTGGTCTATCTGGAGTACATCTTCTTCTTCTTCTTCTTCTTCTTCTTCTTCTTCTTCTTCTTTCTCTCTCCTCTGGTCTCTATCTCTTAGCAAGTGCTTTCATTTCTTTCGCAATTGGGTGGCATTGTCTTTCATTGTGAATTTGCACTTTGGAAATGACCAAGATCGTAACAAATATATTTTAATCCTAGTTTAATCAGGACTAAAAATTTGGCCGGCCACCATGTCGGCTCTACAATCATCAACATAAGAATGATCACGTGCACCTTAAATTTGCACGCCCACATACTCTCTATTCTCTGTGAACCATTCAGTCAAGGCAAACCACAAACACAGCCGCACCTCACGTGTTATACTTAACTTTATATCAAACTTATCTTTTGTCGCTTGCAAAAATCAGGGCGGATACCCTTGTAAGAGTATTCACGCCGACAACGGGCCGCAGTGTGGGAAGGGGGAGAAAATGACCCTGTTGAGCTTGACTCTAGTTTGACTTTGTGAAATGACTTGTGTGGGGCGACCGTTCGTCTTAAGTGACGAGCTGCCCCCACAGGGAAAACGACGGGGTTAGAAAGGGGAAAAAAAAAAAAAAAAAGAGAAAAGAAAAAGGGGAAAAAGAAAGGGAACGGCCACGTACGTGGCCGCGGTCATGGTTAGGTGAGTTTGTGTGAGTATGTGTGTGTGTGTGTGATTGCACCTGTTCGTTTTTTGAACAGGCTGTAATGTTGGCTGGGTACAACCATTCCCTGACGCACGTGGTCTGGGAAGATGCTTTGGGATTGGAAGACCTTGGTTCCCCTAGGGGAACATCGAGGCCTATGGCCCTTGATCGTGGGTTCAGATCAAGGGCCTAGGCCAACTAGAATTTTCGATTGTGGGCTAAGCTGCTGCCCACAGTCCTCAGCTAGCTATAAAAGCCAGCAGCCCCCACACTTGCCTCAAAGTTGTTGAGGTTGTGATGCTGCTCACATGCATTTCAAGTGAAGATTGAGCTTCATCGCACTGCGAGAGGTGATGCTGCTGGTGGAGGTTTGCAGGGAGAAAGAGAGTGGGAGGGGGGCAGCCATAGCCAGAGGCTGGGAACTTACTGCCGCACCCCTGCGTTGGTGCTGTGGCCGGTAGGCTGCATCGGAGTTAAATCGTGCGGCGAGCAACACACATTGGAGAGGTGTTGTCCATTTGGCAGCACGACAAGGGTGGTGTGCTGAAAGAGGACTATGCTGCATAAAGTTTTTGGCTCGTTAGAAACATTTTGAGAGGAGGTGCTGCCGAAATTGCACGGCGGAGTGAGGTTTTATGAAATCAAGCGGCGGTGCTACCAGTTTTGTGCGGTGTAGTGAATTTTTGCGTGCGACCAAGTGGTGGTGCTGTTGAACAACGGTGGTGATCGTGTGGCGGTGTGGCAGTAGTGGTAAGGTCGTTGAGTTGGTGACACTTGTGGTACTTGCGCCAATAAGCCGCCCTTATTTTTTTTGGAGACGTGTGGTGCGAACTAGTCCGCTTTTGTAGCCATCTGGTGTGGCGGGCGTTAGTGTGGGACAGCATGGGATCATTGTCGGGACCAATTTGCAGTCGGAGTGAGCAGTTGGCATAGATATTGCACGCGGAAGCAGTAATTGAAGGAGATTTGTACTTAAGGGTTGGATTGGGATTATCCTTGGAGGTTTTGGTGCGGTTGGAACTGCAGTTGGGACCACTTGGGATCAGTTGAGACCGGGACACGTGTGGCCACGTTGGTGGGTTCCGGTGCTTGTGGTTGACTCTTTACGCCACTATTATTATTTTTGAAGTGTGTGGCGCAAACAGTTCAAATTTCGGGTATGAGACGATTTAGCGTGGCGGTTGGTAGTGTGGAACCGCCTGATACCATTTTAGGACCAATTGAAACTGCTTTGGGACTCTAAATTGCGAGGTGTGGGCGATTTTGGTCGGCGACACACGGCGGCACGCGGTTTATTTATGTGGAGTGCAGTTCGTGACTGCTAGTGGACTTGGGACAGTCCCCAAAACTTTGCGACGCCGTTGGGTTTGCGTCGGCACAATCTGGGACCACGTGGGGCTCACTTTGGGACTGCCCTCCTCGAGGGTTATCCCATTCGAGTTCGGTTATTGAACTTCGTTGCCTTGCAATCCGTCCAGGCCCATTGGGGAAAGCGTTGGCTGTCGTTTTATCGCAAGGCAGTGGTTGGTCGAATTGTGAGTCGGACGTTGACTTCGACGACATCTTTCCAATTGGGATATTACTTGGTTTTCTTGAGTGAGTCAGCTTATACTTCACTCAAGGTCAGTTTTTTTCATGGTTGCCCCGGACCCGGACATCCAGACACCGGACACCAGGCCCGGACCCGTGTCTGGATTAATCCGGACGTCCGGTAAACCGGACATCGATCCGGACATACAGACCCGGACGGTCTGGTTCTGAAAGAACAGGTCCGGATGTCCGGATTGGAAAAAAAAAAAAAAAAAAAAAAAAAAAACACGCTGCTGTAGTTGTGTAACTTGTGTTATCCGACTTATCTTGAACATACTCACATACACACACACAGCCCTGCACACACACAGCTGTAAGAACAATGGAAGGGGTACCCCAAGGACAACCAAAAATTGTCTAAAAATTGCCTTAATATGTTGGATTGTGACTGTCTCATCTCAAATGCTCTCGTTGTCTGCAATACGACAGAGACTGCTTTGCTTCTGAATCTATTCATCTGGGTGGAATTGGGGCTGTTGGGGGGGAAATCACACACACACACACACACACACACACACACACACACACACACACAC